TTTTTTTAAAAAAGTAAAAACAAACTGAAGAAAGAGAATTGTTTTTCAGAACAACTTTCTTCTCTTGAAACTAACTCCATTTACCCTTGTTTTCCATTAATGAAGTCTGCAATCTATTACAAAAACATCCTGTTAAGTATTTGTAGACCATCATCTTGTCTTCCACATCTTCCCTCCAGAGCCAACAGTCATCTACCCCTGGGCATTTACTAAGTACTGCTATGTACCATGTTCTGGACTGGGAATAGGGCCTGTATCTTGTCTCCTTCCTCATGTGACAGTTTGGCATGTAAAACTCACAATTTGCTCCCATTGAGGAAGGGAGGTCCTAGAGCAAAAGTTATGCTCTGCACAGAGTGCCTATTCAGACAGTTGTTATGTGCCGCCATCGAGTCAATTCTGACTCATAGCAACAATGTATAGAGTTTCCAAGGAGCAGCTGGTGGGTTTGAACTGCCAACCTTGTGGTTAGCAGTCAGTGCTAATCCTACAAAGCCAAACCAGGACTCTATTTCAGACAGTTACTTCTGCCCAAATTGTCTTTTTGCCCCCATCTGTGTGAAATCCTTTAAGAGGCATTTTAAGAATGTGTATTAATGCTATAAGAAGCAGCTTCCATATACTGTTTTCTACAGGGCTGACTGTTCCTTCCTCCATTGCAGCCAAGAGCCCATTGTTTCTTCTCTATAGGAGTCTTCTTCATAATGGACTGTAATTCTGAGTTCCTAGCATAGTGGTTAAGGGGCTTTGATAGCGCAGCCATTAAGAGTCCGGCTGCTAACCTCAAGAAAAGCAGTTTGGAACTACCAGCTGTATCACGAGAGAAAGATGAGGTTTTCTGCCATAAAGATTTACAGCCTCAGAAACCCTGTACAGGATTGCTATGAGTCAAAACCGGCTCCACATCACATAACCACCACCTCAATGAAAACATTTCAGGGACTGTATCCCAAGACATGACACTAAGCCTAGCACTTAGCAATCTGATGGTGGTGGTGTGCCGTGGAGTCAGTTCCAACTCATAGCATCCCTGCATAGGGTTTCCAAGGCTGTAAATCTTTATGGAAGCAGAAAGCCTCATCTTTCTCCCACAGAATGGCTGGCAGTTTCGAACTGCTGACCTTGAGGTTAGCAGCCTGACTCATAACCACTACACTACCAGAGCTCCTAGTCTGATGATAGATGGTTCTTATATCAAAGTGTGAGGCGGGGCTCTTTATATAACCATCACTATCCCTTTTAACTTGGAATCAACCCTCTAACCCTAAAGAATGACTTCACGAAGGTGACAGGCTTTGCTAAGGAAGCAAAGCTTCAAAGGTCTGAGTCCTCTGGATTCAAAGACTTTAAAAAAATTGAAAAAAACAATCAGCATTAACAACAATATAGGGAGCTCAGATGATGCAGATCACTTGGTAGTTTGGTGATTCCAAAAAGCTGGAAATCTACTTCCTATATATTATTGTTGTCAAGTGCCACAGAGTTGGTTTCAACTCATAGCAACCCTGTAGAGGGTTTCCGAGGAGCAGCTGGTGGATTTGAACAGCCGATTTTGCGGTTGGCAGCCCAGTGTTTATCCTACTGTGCTACAGTAGGACCCCTATAGACAGTCTACTCTGTCACATGAGTTCACTATGAGTCAAAAATCGACTTGATGGTACCAAACAACAACACTAACATCAATAGATGTAGCTCTGGGCTAAGGACTTTACTCACAGACATTACTATTACCTTTATAAAGATAATAGTAATATTATAAGGAGTGAGCCCAGAAATATGAGCCCCGGTAACTCATTTAAGTCTCACAGCAATAGAGTTGAGATTACAAGCCAATCTGTTTGATTGCAGAACCAGTGTATTTAACAACAACAACAATACTTACATCTTGGTCTTTGGAGATGTCACTATGCCTTGACCTGGCTTCCAGTATCAGGACATGCCCAACAGACACACAGGAGGCAGTGTGGCCTGATGAAGCCTCCTTTTTTGGGTTGGAGACAAACTCACAGCTGCTCCTGGAATCAAGAAGAAGTGAGAGCTCAAAAGATTTTCATGCAGCTCTTTCTCCAGAATGTGAGGGATATGGTAAAACTTCTGGTAACCCCTTATGTCAACCCTCTGGGACACTTACTTTTTTTTTTTTTTCTTGGCAAAACATGTGAGTTACTAATTAATCCTCATTCAATATACTTTCAACACTTCCTTCACTGAACACAGGAATGGGGTGGGTGGAGCAGGGAAGGAGGTCTAACTAGGAAATAAATGTTAGAAATATCCTGATTCCCATTTCAGAAAGAAAAATAGTGACTGTAATTGTGGGAATCATTTGGCAAATTGTCTCTGTTGAGCCCTTTACTTTTCAGAAAGTTATTACTTAAACTAAGGAACAAGGAAGAAGAAGAAGAAGGAAAAAAGGTAAGAGAGTTGTATTTCAAATGAACTTTCTTCTCTTGCATCCAATTCTACCCCTTGGGATCAACACATACAGTTTACAATGTCTTGGAAATGAAAGCCAGTTGAAAGTCTGAGGCTGTGACCAAGTGGTTAAGTGCCTGCTGCTACAGCGGTTGGAGCCCACCAGCACTACACGGGGGAAAGATGTAGCAGTTGGCTTCAGTAAAGATTTATATCCTTGGAAACCCTATAGGACTGTTCTGCAGTGTTCTATATGGTAGCTGTGAGTCGGAATTCGACTGGACGGCAAGGGGTGTGAGTATTCAAGTTAATGGACTCAGGAAGCCGTTGGACAATAATAACCAAGACTAAGGAAAAGTGGTGAAGGAGAACCCTTTCCGAGCTGGGGTAGCAGGAGATGGTCGCAGAAGGTCACAGTCATAACCTTGGGCAATGGGGAACATTCCTTCCACAAACACACAGGAAGAAGGCTGGGGGTGATTGAGTCATTCTGGCACTAGTTAGGTTTAAATGCTCTGGATGCCCTGCTAAATCCTTCCGGTTATGGCCCTTCTGCTATTGCAAAATTGTCCAGGAGGGAAGTAAGGGTGGTGGTTAGTAGGAAGAGGTGGGGAGGGAACCAACGTTTATCGGAGGAGGAAACGGTGAAAAAACAGAGTTGCATAAATTCTTAGAGTCTTCAAGAATTGAGATAGATCTGCGCGCGGAGTCTCAAAGCCCTCTCCCAAGAGCGCCAAAAGCGTTGAGGCTCCAAGGAGCTACCCGCTATGGTGAGTGTAGCGTCGGCGGGTATCCATCTCCGTCTTCTGTGGCGGGCTCCGGCCACCTTGACCTCTTTTCTCTCCCTAGGAGCTTTCGCCTTGCCTGTTGCTGCTGTTCTTACAGCCGTTCCTATGCGCCTCAGAGGCAACGCCCAAGCCCGAGCTCGAGCCCTGCGAAGTGGACGACGAAGATTACCGTTGCGCCTGTAACTTCTCAGGTCCGCAGCCCAACTGGTTCAGTGGACTTCAGTGTATGGTTGCTGTCGAGGTGGAGATCCGTGCTGGTGGCCGCAGCCTGGACAACTTTTTACAGGGCGCCGATACCGAGCCGCGGCACTACGCTGACGTGCTTAAGGGTCTGCGCGTGCGGCGGCTTACAGTGGGCGCTGCCCGGGTTCCTGCCCGGCTCCTGTTCGCATTATTGCGTGCACTCGGTTATTCCCGCCTCAAGGAACTGACACTCGAGGACCTGGAGGTAACCGGCACCTCTCTGCCGCCGCTTCTGGAAGCCCCCGGGCCTGCGCTCTCCGCTCTTCGCCTCCACAACGTGTCGTGGGCCACAGGGGGTGCGTGGCTGGCCGAGCTGCAGCAGTGGCTCAAACCGAGCCTCAAGGTACTGAGCATTGCGCAAGCACCCTCGCTTGCCTTTTCCTGCGAGCAGCTCCGCTCTTTCCCGACCCTCACCACCCTAGATTTGTCGGACAACCCTGGACTAGGTGAACGCGGGCTGGCCGCGGCCTTGTGTCCGCACAAGTTCCCGGCCCTCCAGGACCTGAGGCTGCGCAGTGCGGGGATAGAGACGCTTACCGGTGTGTGCGTGGCGCTGGCGGCGGCCACTGTACAGCCTAATAGCCTAGACCTCAGCCAGAACGCGCTGCTTGGCACCGCCAACCCCAGTGTTCCCGGGTGCATCTGGCCCAGCGCATTGAACTATCTTAATCTGTCTTTCGCTGGACTGAGGAAAGTGCCTAAGGGACTGCCGGCCAAACTCAGTGTTCTAGATCTCAGTTGCAACCGGCTAAACAAGGCACCGCGACAAGATGAGCTGCCTCAGGTGGAAAGCCTGACACTAGATGGGAATCCCTTCTTGGACCCTGGAGCCCACAAGTCCCACGAGGATACAGAGAACTCCAGTGTGACCCAGGCCTGTGTGCACTTGCTCCTGGCCATAGGAATACCAGGAACCCTGACTCTGCTCCAAGGGACCAGGGGCTTCGCCTAGGGCCTTGCGGGAGAAAAATGAACGGCTTCAAGTTGCCCTGAGGGGCATGGGAAGCTCTATCAGAAACCCTTGGCCTCACCTTACTAATATCTTAAACAGCTGATCTATGTTGTTAATTCAACAGATCTTTACTGGGTGTTAGCTAGGTGCTGGGTCTAGATTCCATACTTTGACTTTCTTCATCCTACCTCCTAGATATCTTGTTGTTGTTGTTATCGTTAATTGCTTTTGAGTCATTCCGACTCATAGTCATAGCGACTCTCAGTAAGGTTTCCAAAGAGCAACCTTGTGGTTAGAAACCCAGTGCTTATCTACAATGCCACACCAGGACTCCTTAGGTATCTTTGTTGTTGATAAGTGCTGTCCAGTCGGTTCTGATTCATAACGACCCTGTACAGGGTTTCCTAGGAGCAACTGATGGGTGTGAACCACTGGCCTTGTCATTCGAATTCCAGTACTTATCCTGCAGTGCCACATCAGAAGTTCTAGATATCCTAGGACCAAAGAAATAACTACAGAGGAAGATGGTAGGGAAGAGATCTATGTATCCATGGTCAGCGTACATAACATAGTTCACAAAGACAATGTTCTACATCGTACTTTGGTGAGTAGTGACTGGGATTTTAAAAGCTCATGAGTAGTCAAGCAACCGTTGGTCTTGCCATGTGTGGAAGAAAGAAGAATGATGAAAATTGAAGATGTTTGGAATCAATTAGTCCAGTGAACTAATGGAATCTGTGAACATCAGTTTTCATGACTCTGAGACCAGAAGAACTAGATGGTGCCCAGCTGCCACTATCAGCTGTTCTGAAAGGGATCATATTAGAAGTTCCTGGATAGAGTGGGGGACAATGTGGACCAAAATTCAAAATTATTAAAAGAAAACAAAACAAAAACAAAAAAAGACTGTACTGACTGGTCAGAAAGAGACTGGAGGAACCCAAGACTATGGTCCTCCGCCACCCTTCCTGTCTGGAACTGAACTCCCTCTTGTGACCCAAGTTTCAGCCAAGCGGTGGACAGATATATAGGGAGAACAACAAAGCTATTGAAATATGCTAGCCATTGAATGGTCAACCTTTCAAGATCAAAAGGGTAACATTTATATGAGGACAAGGTAAATATGTAACAGAAGAAGGGTGTAACAGAATAGGAACCACAGGGAGGATGTGGGTAACTATTCTTACATGGAAGAGATTGCAAGCATTGAAAAAAAAAGTGTGCGATTTGTTGAACGTAAAACTGATAATCTGTTCTGTAAACCTTACTCAATTCTGAATAAAAAGTTGCAAAAAAAGAGGTATGTGTGTGGGAGGATAGTTCATGAGTTTCTGGATAGTCAGGGTTTTCTGAGCAAATACTGGCGTGAGAATTATTGTTGCTAGGTGCCATTGAGTCAGCACCAACTCATAGTGACCCTATGCACAACGGAACGAAACACTGCCTGGTCCTGTGCCAACCTTACACACTGTTGCTGCACCTGAGCCCATTGCTGCCGCCACTGTGCCAATCCTTCTTGTTGGGGGTCTTCCTCTCCTTCTCTGACCCTCCACTTTACCAAACATGATATCCTTTTCCAGGGACTGTCCTCTTCTGGTAATATGTCCGAAGTATGAGAGATGAAGTCTGGCCAACCTGGCTTCCAAGGAACATTCTGGCTGTAACTCTTCCAAAACAGATCTGTATTTTTTTTGTCAGAACATGATACTTTTAATATTCTCCTCCAACACCATAACTCAAATGCATCAATTCTTCTAAAGTGTTCCTTATTCATTGTCCAAATTTCACATGCATATGTTGTTGTTGTTAAGTGCTGTCGAATCGATTCCGACCCATAGTAACCCTGGATAGGGTTTCCAAGGAACAGCTGGTAAGCTTGAACCATTGACCTTGCAGTTCATATGACTTTGCAGTCTGATGCCTTAGCCCACAGTGCCACACCAGGACTCCACATGCATATGAGACTATTGAAAATACCATGGCTTGGGTCAGGTGCACCTCAGTTCTTTAAACTAACATCTTTGCTCTTCAACACTTTTAAGAAGGTCTTGTGCAGTAGATTTACCTAATACAATAGGTCATTTGATTTCTTGACTAAGGCTTCCCTGAGTGCTGAAAGTTGATCCAAGCCAAATGAAGTCTTTAACAACTTCAATCTTTTTTCCATTTATGTGCATGTTGTTTATTGGTCCAGAGGTGAGGATTTTTGTTTTCTTTACATTGAGATGCAACCCATGCCAAAGGCTGTGGTCGTTGATCTTCATCAATAAGTATTTTAAGTCCTCTTAGCGTTCAGCAAGCAAGGTTGTATTAAACTAGAATTAAAGGGTATTTAAATGCTAAACATTCCTGCAAGATAAAGAATGTTTCCTCTATAATGCACAGTTCATCTGCTTTCATTGTAGAAGAAGAAAATCTAGTGTTAGGAGTTAAAAACAGAAGAGTTTTATTGAAGCTCAAACCAAGCAGCACAAAGTGAAATTATAATGTGCTCCAATATGTTACATTATTCAGGTTGTTATTATAATGACATATCAAGAACTAGACAGCAATTTTTCTGATTAGTTGAATTGGCTGAAATTTGCAAGGTTTTGTCTAATCAATCAGAAGGTAATTATGAGATACCAGAAGTTACAGATCATAAAATCATTCAGTTTTCCAAGACTATTTTATTATACAAGAAGGTGCTTTTGTCATAAATTTCCTGGAATATTTGTATTGTAATCTTAATTAAATATTTTTAGAGAAGTAGTCACATTCTTTAGTACTTCCTCTGTTGATTTCTCATGAGCAGCACAACTCTTCAGTGAGAGTCCATTCCAAAAGTCTCTATATTTTCTATTGTTAGGTACCATCAAGCCAGTTCTGGCTCATAGTGACCAGGTATAGGGTTTCTAAGACTATAAATCTTCATATGAGCAGAAAGTCTCATCTTTTTCCCTCAAAGTTGCTGGTGGGCTCGAATTGCAGACCTTGTGTGGCAATTGAGTACTTATCTTACAATATCATCAATTAGCTGCCTCTATTTTGTTGTTGTTGTTGTTGTTAAATGCCGTAGAGTCGGTTCTGACTCATAGCGACCCTATATAGGGTTCCTGAGAAGAGGCTGGTGGGTTTGAACTACCAACATTGCAGTTCAAACTAACCTGAAGCACCACACCAGGACTGCATCCTCCTCTGTATTTGTTGTTGTTAAGTGCCATCAAGTCGATTTCGACCCATAGCAACCCTGCATACGGTTTCTAAGGAGCAACTGGTGAGCTTGAACCACCGACCTTGCAGTTCAAACGACTTTACTTTGTGGTCTGATGCATTAACCCACAGAACCACACCAAGACCTACCAAAGACCCCCAGCAAGATGAGTTGGCAAAGTGGCAGCATCAATGAGCTCAAGCATGGCAACAATAGTGAGGTTGGCCCAGGATCAGGCAGTGTTTCGTTCTTTTGTGCTGAGTTTGTACCGACTGGATGGCACCTAACAACAGCAATATAGTCTCCCCTTTTGATCAAGCCTCCACTTGGGGGAGCAGATTGCCCACAACTATATATTCCTTCTGCAAGGGTTTGTTCCAAGGGGTTGTAGTGACGTTGTTGTTAAGTGCCCTTGAGTTGGTTCTGACCCTTAGCGACCCTTTTATAGGGTTTCCGAGGAGTGGTTAGTGGGTTTGAACCATCCACCTTGTGGTTCAAACTGATTTTGCAGTCCAGCGCCTCAACCCTCAGTTTCACAACAGGACTCTATAGTGACATTATTGTTGTTTAAGGAGACCCTGTATGGGGTTTCCAAGGAGTAACTGGTGAGCTTGAACCACCGACCTTGTGGTTCAAACCAACTTTGCAGTCGCACACTAACCCACAGTGCCACATCAGGACTTCAGTCAAAGGAAAGTTAATCCTTCACTTTGCCAAACTAATGGGCCCCATGTTCAGTATGATTGCTGTGAGGACTATGGCATCAGACTATGGCATGAATTGGAGGAATCAATTTAGAGTGAGCTCAAACAAAAAAGCTAATCTATGAGTACCCAAGGAAAGTAAAGAAGAGCTTCTCTGTTCAAAGTGATTTAGTTCTATGCTATAGATTCAGCTCCTTTAAAGTACACACTTATATGTATAGCTGGAACAGTTTCCATTTTAGTGGATTTAATTTAGCATTTCATAGTGGATTTAATCAGTACTATAATAGTCACTTCACCACTTGTCTGTCAATTTGTTGTACCATGGTGGCTTGAGTGTTGCTGCGATGCTGGGAGCTATGCCACCAGTAATTTAAATGCCAACAGAGTCACCCATGGTGGACAGGTTTCACCTGAGCTTTCAGACCAGACAGACTCAGAAGAAGGAGAGGATGACTACTTCCAAATGTTCAGCCACTGAAAACTTTATGACTAGCAGAGAAATAGTGTCAGATATCACCAGAAAATTGAATATTGAAACATGATGAATAGCACCAGAATATTGTCAAATTTAGTGCCAGATGACAAGCCCCTCAGGTTGGAAGACACTCAAAATATGACTGGGGAAGAGCTGCCTCCTCAAAGTAGAGTTGACCATGATGACATGAGTGGAGTCAAGCTTTTGGGACCTTCATTTGCTAATGGGGTACAACTCAAAATGTGGAGAAACTGCTGCAAACATTCACTAATAATCAGAGTATGGAATGTACAAACTATGAATCTAGGAAAATTGGAAGTTGTCAAAAATGAAGTAGAATGCATGATCATTGATATCCTGGGAATTAGTCATCTGAAATGGACTGGTATTGGCCATTTTGAATTTGACAATCACGTGGTTTACTATGCGGTAATGACAAATAGAAGAGGAATGGTGTTCATCATTAAAAAGAACATTTCAAAATCTATCTCTATCTTGAAATATAATGCTGTCTGTGATAGGGTAATATCTATACCCTTACAAGGAAACAAGGATTACCACTATTATTCAGATTTATTCACTAGTCACTAAAGTCAGTGATGATGAAATTGGAGAATTCTACCAA